TCAGACATATTAAAGCAGCTCAAAAGAGACTCAGAACAGTCAAGAAGATGTTCTAGGTTTTTTATGGTTTTGGTTTTTTTTCAAGTTAGTAAAAAGAACTGGGCAGGCTTTGCATAAATGTTATGGTTTTATATTTTTTACCTTCAGTGGTCTGCTTAGACTGACTTAACAGACTAGGATTAATTGTTCATTGCTGTTTGTGAAGGAGGTTAATGGAACTTGCTGCTCTCGTGATACTTTCTCTTCATGGTGGAAGTGTGAGAAACTCTCTGTTTTTGCCCTCTGATCAACAGAGTTCAGCACAGACACGTCTCAGAGCTGTGTGCGTACATACATTATGTACTATGGCAGATGAATAGAGCTACAACACTTCTGGACTGTTACTTTCTGTTTGTGCTGGAAGTGGGATATAAAGTCCCCAGCGTGGATTTTTCTGTCACACAAACACCAATGTGTTCAGTGAAGACAGAGCCAGTGTTCTGACTATAGCACATAATATGCACTATCAATCAAAGTAGTGAACAGGCAGTCAGCTATAGAGTCTGCAGCTGTTGTCTCTGGACCGCCCTACTAATGTGCATTAAGCTTGAAATAGAGCTTGCGGCTCTGACAGTAAACATAACCCTCTGTATGGCCTCATGGACTTGCAGTAAGAAGTACTGTGATTTAACAGTAGTTCGATTAGTTTGAAACCTCCAATACTTCGCCTGAATTTTGTGCCTCCATTCAGGCAGCCCTGTGCCAGCCAAAGCAGCCTGAAGGACATCAACTGGGACAGCTCGCAGTGGCAGCCGCTGATCCAGGACCGATGCTTTCTGTCCTGGCTGGTGAAGATCCCATCAGAACAGGAGCAGCTTAGAGCCCGTCAGATCACGGCCCAGCAGATCAACAAGTTGGAGGAACTCTGGAAGGTACGATCCACTTGTATGCCTTTTGCTCTTTCAGGGCTTGTAAGAGTGTTGACTTTGTTTTTTGTGGTTTTCCTACAGGACAATCCCACTGCCACCTTGGAAGACCTGGAGAAACCTGGAGTAGATGAGGAGCCCCAGCATGTACTGCTGCGTTACGAGGATGCTTATCAATACCAAAATATATTTGGCCCTTTGGTCAAATTGGAAGCTGACTACGACAAGAAGCTTAAGGAGTCACAGGTACCTGAACATGGTTCCACACAGAGGTGCCTGGAATGTGGTTACTGGTGTTTTACTTCCAGAAATGTACATGGCTAAAGTTTTTAATCTTTAAAAAGCCTTTAATCATTTAATGATTTTAATGGTATGGTGAGGATTATTTTATTTTCATGCTGAAGCAGGATGTGATGATAGATTTTCCTGACTACAGATGCGATCTGAAATGTGTTTTTGTGGCATAAGGCACTTTTCTGATCAGGTGTTTTTACTTTATTTTCTGCAATATTGTCATAGCTGTGATATCTGTATTATTATTCCTGATGTTTTGATCATTTTTTCCCTCCTTTTTCAGACTCAAGATAATATAACAGTTAGGTGGGATCTGGGGCTGAACAAAAAGCGGATTGCCTATTTCACTCTTCCTAAGACGGATTCAGGTGGTAATTCTCTAAACTTTCCTTCCTCCCAGTGGTTCTGTGGTACAGATGTAGCTCCCATCCTACTCCCCCCCCCTCAGGCCTTGCACGCAACCTCCCCCATCCCTGCATCTTTTGGTGGCATGTGTGCGTGTTTTGTTTTTGTTTTTTTGTTTTGTTTTTTTCTCCTCTTACCTCTGTTTTGTGTTGTGGGGTTAGATGAGGGCACGGTATTGTATCATGTGTTTTCATAAACTTAGCCCTGTCCTTAAATACTTCTGTATGCAAGTTTCTAACTTGTGTCCTTTCACTTGACCCCAGATATGCGGCTGATGCAAGGTGATGAGATTTGTCTGCGGTACAAGGGAGACCTGGCCCCGCTGTGGAAGGGCATCGGTCATGTCATCAAGGTCCCAGACAGTATCCTTTGCACAGCTGATATGATCTGTTTCTTAATGTTGCCTTCCAGCATGGCCCTTTACGGCAGCAGTGACTGTCCTAACCGAGAAGTACAGACAGCAAAGCCCACACTCACCCACTAGAAGTATTTTACAGATAATGCTGGATTTCCTTAATAGCTCGTGTTTAAAGACTATGGAGATGAAATTGCCATTGAGTTGCGGAGCAGTGTTGGAGCACCTGTGGAAATCCCCCACAACTTCCAGGTGGACTTTGTGTGGAAGTCGACTTCCTTTGATAGGTAAGCTGTTTTATGCCAGAGCATTTAGCGACATGGCGTACCAAAAGGTCTTTTCTTCCTTTCCTTTCATTTCCACCTCATGTTTTCAGTAGATTCATTGTGTCTTTTCTTTTTTTGATTTGACTACCAGTTGTAAAGATTTCAGCTTAATTTAAATGCATTTGCTAAGCTATTTTTGGCAGTAACGGCTGACTTAGTTGTTTATGTCCTGCTGCAGGATGCAAAGCGCCCTGAAGACGTTTGCGGTGGATGAGACCTCAGTGTCTGGCTACATTTACCACAAACTCCTGGGGCATGAAGTCGAGGATGTCACCATTAAGTGCCAGCTGCCAAAGCGCTTCACTGCCCCAGGCCTTCCTGACCTCAATCACTCACAGGTCAGACTTGGACATCGTAACTCATACGAGAAAACTTTTAGATGGCCATAATCTCAGTGTAGGACATAGTGTAATTTTAGTTGATTTATTTACTGTACATTAGTGCAACAAAGACATTCATCTTTGTAAATTAATTTAGAAAACTCAAAGAATAAGAAAAGATTTCTGTTATGATCGGCAAAAAGTGTTTTGTGTTTTTGGCAAACTGCGTTTGTTTTAAGTATCCAGTTGATTTATTTTGTTTCTTGCATGTTCAGGTGTATGCTGTGAAGACGGTGCTTCAGAGACCTCTTAGTCTGATCCAGGGGCCTCCTGGCACTGGGAAGACCGTCACCTCTGCCACGATTGTGTACCACTTGTCCCGACAGGGCAACGGGTGAGGCAAAAATTGAGTTAACCCTTTTATATTTGAAGCGTGTTATTATTCCAGTCGTGTAATTCTTGTTCCCTTTCTCTCTGTGGTGCATGTGTCCTGTAGACCAGTTTTGGTGTGTGCTCCCAGTAACATTGCTGTGGACCAGCTGACTGAGAAGATCGATAAGACTGGACTGAAGGTTGTCAGGCTGTGTGCCAAGAGCAGGGAGGCCATCGAGTCCCCTGTGTCTTTCCTTGCTTTACACAACCAGATCAGCAACATGGACAGGTCAGTAACATGAGGGGAAATAGTCCTTCATTTTCCAGGTGTGACCATGTTATATCACAGATTTGGTGTTGTAATGTACTGGTGTAAATAATCTGATGTGTCTTTGTCTCCACAGTATGCCGGAGCTTCAGAAACTACAGCAGCTAAAAGATGAGACTGGCGAGCTTTCGTCTGCTGATGAGAAACGCTACAGGGCTCTGAAGCGCACTGCTGAGAGGGAGCTGCTCATGGTGAGGAGGTGTTGGTTTTCACTTTAAATGCGGCTGGAAGTCGGCGATTTCAGGCATTCTTGGTGCAACAAGTGATTTCAGTCAAATGTTGTTTGCCTCTGAGAATTATTCTGCAGAAGCAGTGGCCTGATTTATACATTTAATTTTTAACTACAAGTTGTGGTGCTGATCACTGAGGGCAGCAGAATTTAAACATCCACCACATTAGTTGTCCACATCCTTAGTTGCCTCTCCCTATTATAGACAGTTGCTGCTACACTACTGTGTAGCTAAATCCTGCAACTCCACTGGCCTCAGCCAGTCAGCACATGACAGTACAGGAGAAGAAAATATCCCATTTCAACTAGCTGTCTGTACCAGTCCATTAAGATGATTCAATAGCTTCTTCAACCTGAGATGCAGATAATGATCATAATTTCCTCTTTGTTGTCCAGAATGCTGACGTAATCTGCTGCACTTGTGTCGGAGCTGGAGACCCTCGTCTGGCCAAGATGCAGTTCCGTTCGATCCTGATCGATGAGAGCACCCAAGCCACTGAGCCCGAGTGTATGGTGCCCGTGGTGTTGGGAGCAAAGCAGGTACAAAACCCAAACAGCTGCATCAGTTCCCAGCTGCTGCTGTTTGCTTTGGTTTCTGTCGTTTTTTTTGCATTAACAGTAAATGAAGAAATACTTTGGCACATGTCAACTAAAAATGTAAAGCTTAGTCATTTAAACCGTAGTAGCAGCTACTGTCAAATATTAAAACTTTCAATAGTCTGAACATTAATATCTTGTGTTGTGTTGTTAAACTAACCAAAGCGTCACGCTTATGTGGCTCTTCTTCCTCCACACAGCTTATTCTGGTGGGTGACCACTGCCAGTTGGGTCCTGTGGTGATGTGTAAGAAGGCGGCTAAAGCAGGTCTGTCGCAGTCCCTGTTTGAGCGCCTAGTGGTCCTGGGGATCCGGCCGATCCGCCTGCAGGTCCAGTACCGTATGCACCCGGCTCTCAGTGCCTTCCCCTCTAACATTTTCTACGAGGGATCCCTGCAGAATGGCGTCACTGCAGGTTTGTTACGATCCGGCAGTTCATTATCTGGTTTGATGAAGGAGCAAATTGATTTCCACACTGATTAGTAGAAGATCCACCAACTTATAACTTAACAATAATTAGACCGTCCTGTTCTCCTCAGCTGACCGCATCAAGAAGGGCTTTGATTTCCAGTGGCCACAACCAGACAAGCCCATGTTCTTTTACGTTACTCAAGGTCAGGAGGAGATTGCCAGCTCTGGAACCTCGTACCTTAACAGGTAAGTTCTCACATTTTGTTTGTTACTTGGTGGCATTTCACTTCAATCCTACTTAAATTTGCTGACGTAATTTTCTTTTGGCCCCCTGTGGACGTGATTGCTTATTTTTATTTTTATTTTTTTTGCATCAGTTTGCCATAGTTAACTTTAAATGATTGTCCCAATATTGATACGATTGACTGTTTTTTCAGGACTGAAGCTGCCAACGTGGAGAAAATCACCACCAGGCTGCTGAAGGCGGGAGCCAAACCCGATCAGATCGGCATCATCACCCCGTACGAGGGTCAGCGCTCCTACCTGGTCCAGTACATGCAGTTCAGCGGCTCCCTGCACACCAAACTCTATCAGGTATCACTTATAACACAAATGCAAAAATACCCTTTTCCAGCAAACACTTTATGGTTACACACATTAGGAGATATACCAGGACAACATCAACATGGAGCAGTTAGGAGTAGGACGTCCCGTCTCCTCCACAGAGGAGATGGACAAAAAAGAAAGTGAACAACTGGAGCGCCAGAGTTGAGAGTAGACCAACATGAAGTTATTGTTTAAAGTTTAGCACACGACCACTCAGATTTGGTCCTTTGTTTTTACAATGCAATTTCACCTTTTATCGTGATTCATTATAGCAAGTGGAAATTGCCAGCGTGGATGCCTTTCAGGGCAGAGAGAAGGACTTCATCATCCTGTCTTGTGTTCGAGCCAACGAGCACCAGGGAATTGGCTTCCTGAACGACCCTCGCCGTCTCAACGTGGCGCTGACCAGGGCCAAGTAAGAACTGTTAAAATAATCACAGTGGACAGATGAAGCACGGCTCAATCGATCGTGCGTTTCTGATTTGAATGACTCATGTGTCAAATTTAGCTTCATTTTAACGATCAGGCTAGATTGACTCTGTTCTGCGCACACAACATTTCACACTGTGTGATTTGTGTAAGCTGCAACCTACCCCTCATCAGTTGTCTTATGTCTGAAGGTATGGTGTCATCATTGTGGGCAACCCCAAGGCGCTCTCCAAGCAGCCACTGTGGAACAACCTGCTGAACAACTACAAGGAGCAAAAGGTCCTCGTGGAGGGGCCCCTAAACAACCTGAGGGAGAGCCTCATGCAGTTCAGCAAACCCCGCAAACTGGTCAACACCATCAACCCTGTGAGTAGGACGCGTCATACATTTTTTTTTTTTTTTTTTTTTTTTTTTTTTTTTAAATTTTTTAAATGATGTATGAATCCAAACTAATACTGGGAATTGGCACCTGAGTAACAGTGGAAGTTG